TGACCACAAAATGGAAGGAGGCAGAAGAGTTCGTGCCCAAGGGCAACAGAAACAATAGGAAAACCAAAACAAGCCTTTGGTTCACCCAAAGGTGTAGAGAAAGGAAAAAGTGTAGAAGACAAAGAACCCAGGAAAATAAGATCAGCCGAAGATTCAGAAATGAATATGCATGAACAAGGAGGGAGGCCCTGCGGCAATACGAGAATGATATAGCATCGAAAGCCAAACCTGACTCAAAGCCGTCGTATAGCCACATAAAGAGAAAAATAACAGTCAAGGATCAGGTAATCAGAATGAGGACGGAAGAGGGGAGATCACAAGAAACGACAAAGAAGTATGTGAGGAGCTCAACACGAGACTCAAGGAAGTGTGTTCAGTACACACAGATAGGACTATAGCAAACTATGATGGAAGAGTATAACAAGTGCTGGACACATTATATACAACAGAGGAGGAGGTGAAGAAGTTGCTAAGTGAGCTAGATTCCTCAAAAGCAGTGGGACCGGACAATATCTTCCCTGGGTCCTGGGAGAGGGAGCAGAGGCACTGTGTGGTGCCACTAATAACAATCTTCAACACATCTATCGAAATAGGGTAACTATCTAAGGTGTGGAATACGGCAAATGTAGTTCCACTCTTTAAGAAAGGAGACAGGAAGGTAGCATTTAACTACAGACCAGTGTCACTGACTTAGTATGAAAAGTCATGGAGAAGCTTATTAGGAAAAGACTGGTGGAACACCTGGAAACGAATGAGATTATACATGATAACCCGCACGGTTTCAGGGAGGAGATATCCAGCGTCACAAAGCTACTGGAGTTTTATGACAAGGTGACAGAAGTAAGACAGGAGAGGGAGGGGTGGTCTGCAAGACGGCCTTCAACGCAGTTCTGCACAAGAAATTAGTGCAAAAGCTAGAGGAGCAGGCAGGAATAACAGGAAAGACATTGCAATGGTTCAGGAAATACCTGACAGGGAAAACAACAGATGATAGTACGTGACGAGATATCAGAACTGGCGTCTGTGACGAGCAGAGTTCCACAAGGGCCAGTCCTAGCGCCAGTTTTGTCTCTGGTATTTGTGAATGACATGACGGAAGAGATAGTTTCAGAGGTGTCCCTGTTTGCAGACGATGTGAAGCTGTTACAGAGAATTCAAAGTAGATGAGAATCAGGTGTGACTACAAAGGGATCTGGACAGGCTGCAAGCCTTGTCTAACAACAACTGTTTCCTGGAGTTTAACCCCCACCAAATGCAAAATTGTAAAGATTGGAGAAGGGAAAGAAGACCACACACAGAGTACAGGCTGTGGAGCCAAAGACTACAAACCTCACTCAAGGACAAGGATCTTGGGGTGAACACAAAACCGTGCACATCTCCTGAGGTGCATATCAACAAAATAACTGCTGCAGAATATGTGCGACTAGCAAACCTAAGAATAATGTTCCGACATCTCAGTAAAGAATCGTTCAGGACTCTGTGCACCGTGTAAGACAGGCCCAAGAAATTAGAGAAAGTGCAAAGGTTTGCAAAGAGACTAGTCCCAGAGTTAAGGGGTATGTCCTAAGAGGAGAGGTTGAGGTAAATCGACCTGACGACACTGGAGGACAGGAGAGAGAGGGGGACATGATAACGACACATAAAATACTGAGAGAAATTGACAAGGTTGACAGAGACAATATGTTCCAGAGATGGGACACAGCAATAAGGGGTCACATTGGAAGCTGAAGACTCAGATGAGTCATAGGGATGTTAGGAAGTATTTCTTCAGCCACAGAGTTGTGAGGAAGAGGAGTATACTGGAGAGTGATGTAGTGGAGGCAGGATCCATACATAGCTTTATGAAGAGATATGATAAAGCTCATGGAACAGGGAGAGAGTGGACATAGTAGCGACCAGCGAAGAGGCGGAGCCAGGAACTGTAACTCGCACCCTGCAACCACAAATAGGTGAGTACACACACAAACACACAAAACAGGAAAACATAAGACGTAATAACTTTCAGATGTGTTCAGTTAGGTTATCAAGTTCTTCCTGTTATCCCATATGTTGTCTTGTTGTTCAGTCTCCTCTAGTTCATTCTTACTCTCTAGCACTGTTCACTGCAAGAACAACTTGAAACACGTGTTATGCTCCTCACATGCTTCCCTATCATTCTTCGTCACTCCTTCATTCATAACTACTGTCACTGGATTATTTACTGTAATTTTGTTTGGTTTGGTTTGTACTCACCAAGTGTGTAGTTGTGTGTGAGTTGTGTGTTTGTGCTATGTGTGTATTTGTGTTTTTGTCTGTATGGTGTGTTTTTAGGTGTAATTTGTTTGGTTTGTGTTGTGTGTTAGTGTGTGTGTAGTGTGTGTGTGTGTGTTGTGTGTGTGTGGTGTGTGTGTGTGTTGTGTGTGTGTGTGTGTTTGTGGTGTGTGTGTGTGTGTGTGTGTGTGTGTGTGTGTGTTGTGTGTGTGTGTGTGTGTGTGTGTTTGTGTGTGTGTGTGTGTGTGTGTGTGTGTTGTGTGTGTGTGTGTGTGTGTGTGTGTGTGTTGTGTTGTGTGTGTGTTGTGTGTGTGTTGTGTGTGTTGTGGTTGTGTGTGTTTGTGTGTTGTGTGTGTTGTGTGTTGTGTTGTGTGTGTGTGTGTGTGTGTGGTGTGTGTGTGTGTGTGTGTGTGTGTGTTGTGTGTGTGTGTGTGTGTGTGTGTGTTTGTGTGTGTGTGGTGTTGTGTGTGTGTGTGTGTGTTGTGTGTGTGTGTGTGTGTGTGTGTGTGTGTGTGTGTTGTGTGGTGTGTGTGTGTGTGTGTGTGTGTTTTTGTGTGTGTGTGTGTGTGTGTGTGTGTGTGTGTGTGTGTGTGTGTGTGTGTGTATGTGTGTGTGTGTGTACGTGTGTGTGTGTGTGTGTGTGTGTGTGTGTGTGTGTGTGTGTGTGTACGTGTACTCACCTAATTGTACTCACCCAATTGTGGTTGCAGGGGTCGAGACACAGCTCCTGGCCCCGCCTCTTCACTGATCGCTACTAGGTCGTTTCTCTCTCTGCTTCCAGAGCTTTGTCATACCTCGTCTTAAAGCTATGTATGGTTCCTGCATCCACTACATCACTTGTTAGGCTATTGCACTTCCTGACGACTCTGTGACTGAAGAAATAATTCCTCTCATCCCTATGACTCGTCTGAGTCTTCAGCTTCCAATCGTGACACCTTGTTTCTTTGTCCCCTCTCTGGAACAACCTGTCTCTGTCTACCTTATCTATTCCATGCAGTATTTTATATGTCGTTATCATGTCTCCCCTGACCCGCCTGTCCTCCAATATCGTCAGTCCGATTTCCCTCAACCTTTCTTTGTAGGACATTCCCCTGAGCTCCGGAACTAACCTTGTTGCGAACCTTTGCACTTTCTCTAATTTCTTGACGTGTTTGCCCAGGTGTGTATGTGTGTGTGTGTGTGTTTGTGTGTGCAAATGCGAATAGGTATAATGACCTATTTTCCTTTGTTGTGCGATTGGTGGGTCAAGTAATAAATGAATTTATCACAAGTAAATTAGAGAAAATAATTATCAGACGAAATAATAATAATAATAATAATAATAATAATAATAATAATAATAATAATAATAATAATAATAAACAGATTTCCCCCACATATGTGCGTTATATTTGTGTATTATGCCGTTTTTGCTCTTAAAAAAAGAATAATAATAAAGTGTACAAATTATATAACGAGTCATGCAAACGTGATTTTGGTAAATTTCCCAGGATACTGAATTCATCCCAATGCCATCAAACTTAGAATAACGACAGTGAAGTCAGCGTAAAGACTTCAAAGTCAGACTGCACATTAGTGATGTCATGAACAGGACAGAGACGTCAGTGCTATGACACTAACGTTAGGAACAAGTCTTCTAGGTCGTGGGTTGTAACACAAAGCATCAACTACGTTCTGGGTACCGCATAAAAACACGAATATTACAGTTCCGAGGAGAAAGGTTGGTCGAGTCGGTACAAGTGTGGGAGTACATGGTGAGGGGTCGGGGTTATTGTGGGGGTGGGGGTCTAAGTAGTGATGGGAGAGTGGAGAGGGGAAGGTCCCGATAATAATAGAATTGGGGGTGCTGGTGAGGGTTAGGTGGGGTATGCATGAGATGTGGGTAGGTTGGGGTTAACAAGGCGTGAACATAATAGTGAATGCCAAGAGAGAAGATGGAGCGCGTATTTTTTTTTTTTTTTTTTTTTTTTTTTTTTTGACCTCGACTGAACTCAGGAAGAAAATATACCCGCACATCTGATAGATATTCAAAGCCCCCAAGTACAACATATTGTTGCAATATATTGTTGCAATATATTGTTGCAACATGAAAAACATATGTCCTATTTACACAGGCGCGAAACGTACTACGATTGTAGCAACATAAAAGGAACTTAGACAAAATCAAGAAAATATCAAAGGCACTATGTACATGTTCCGGACATGTCTGTGAATATATTTCAGTTATTCAGTTGCTAGAAGAACGTTGCTGGTGAATCACCAAACATGGTTACAATCACTCAGCTGAACACGAGGAAGACATGAGAACACAGAATAACAAATATACACAAGGCAATATGTTCCCTTTGAGATGCAAGAATCAACACCAGATATCTTGAATATATTAAAGTTGTTCTCTCCCACTAAAGAGGAAGTTATCCAGCCTCTGCATACAAGCTCAGAACTATAACCCCATCCTGCAACCTATCACCATTCTACTACGTTCATTTTCTTACGAGATTCCTAGCGTCAGATTCTTAACGAATACCATTTCTATTTTTAAGTTAGATAAGGTTAACTTAGCTAACACGAACGTATAAAAAACGTATCTTTAACTTCAGAAAGAAAATTAAAAAGTCCTCGATGACACTTCTATCACCATGATGGCTCAGCAACAACAGCAGACTTTCAAAACTGCACGAACATCACTTGTGGTGATAGAATAAGATGCATGGGGGTGAATGAACTAGACAATAACAAGGTATACTCACGACCATCCGCCTTGCATAGCCACTGCGCCAGTCTCTCCCTGGGGGGTGCCTTGCTCGTAGCGACTAATACCGTCGCCAGTCTCGTACTTGAAGCTGTACGAGCCATCTGGGTGAGGTCCTTCGCGCTCGTCAACCAGGATCGGAATCTCGTATCCAGGGGGCGTCGGTGGGGGACGCGGTCTTGTGATAGGCGAGTCCGCCTGAGGCCCGAAGGGAAATTGGCTTTGTGCGGCACCAAAACCTCCTGGAGCGCTACCAGCAGGTGGACCAACTGGTGGTCGTGGTTTGAAAGGTCTTTGACTCTGGCCCGCACCAAAACCCCCTGGAGCACTACCAGGAGGTGGAGACCCCTGTGGTCTAAATGGTCTGATTTGGCTCTGGGCGGCACCAAACCCTGCTGGTGCACTGCCTGGCGAGGGGTAACTCTGAGGCCGTGCAGTGGCTCCTACAACCACTGCAAACAATACCAGTGTCTGCAAAACAAAATAAACCGCACTGCAATCATTTGTAACCAGTTTAAGAGGAACGTCTGGAGTGCTTGTTGCAGCTGCACGTAAAATTACTATAATTTACCGCCAAAAACATTATTATAATTGTATAAATGGGAAGCTCTAAATACATAAGGGCTAATAAACGCCTAGAGATTAAGAGGTAAATATATTTTGTTTTTCGCACGATGAAGAGTGTTTCATCACACTCAAAACTCACCTCTCGAAGAGACACCAAAGAGAGACAAGAAAAAGCATTAACAATGGTGCCATCTTACCCTGACGATCATGGTGCTAGTGTGCTGTGATGAGTGTTGGCGAGGATGCCAGCACCCATGTTATATACCTCTCTCCCTTTTCCCTCTCACACTAACCCTGTCGACACCAAGGTGAAGGATACCTACTTTCCTCCCGTACACGACATAGGTGAGGTGAAGCAATGCTTGTCTACCAAAAAACTCTCATGCAAGAACGAAAACGAAAATTTAATATTCGGGATATCTGGAGAGAGTTGTAGTGAGTGAAATATATTATCGATGAACACAACTGATAAACTTTGGATAAATCCATAAATATGTTTCTTAGCCTCTCGAACTGCCGTCACTCCCTTATTATATGAACTCAATGTATCATGCAATGGCCTAATATTCCAATAGCCTGAGGGAGGGTCCATAAGATTCTTCCTGGAGACCTTTTATGCTTTTCTTCGAGGCTACGGATACCCAATATAGCACCAGAGATTATACCCTCATGTGTTTATATATATATATATATATATATATATATATATATATACCACCACTCATACCACCACTTGTGTGACGTTTCAATCGTTTGATGAACCATTTCTTTCACGTTTTCCAATCGTCATTATTTCCTCTTCTTTCATTTTACTTCATCTTCTTTTGTCTTCTTGTCTTGTTTTATCTTCCTAGCACTCCTGTCTCTTTAATACGTATTGCCTTCACCCTCCCATTGTTTGCATTAATGGAGTTGAATATCTCTTCCGTTTTAAACGTGTAAAAAATATAATTCGAAATTCGTGACTTCCTCGAGAGTGTCTTCGTGCGAGCGCCATCGTTCGTCTCGCTATGTTATTGTAGTACATCATGTGCTCGTTAGTAAGATTAACGACAAAAGTGAACATAATGGTATGTTGTCTTTGTTTAGTATTGTCTTTATATATGAATATAATATATTTCCTTTAAAGTATTTTTACTGATAAACTTGCTCGTACGCATGTCTGTCTCACACACACACAGACACGTACAAACCTGGTCCGACAACTGACTCCTGGAGTTTAACATCACTAAGCGTAAAGTCATGAAGTTTGGGGAAGGACAAAGAAAACCCCAGACGGAGTACAAGCTAGGGTATCAAAGGCTGCAGCCTCACTTAAGGGAAAGATCTTGAGGTGAGGATTATACCGAACACATTCCCTGAGGAGCACATCAACCAAATAACCGCTGCAGCATATGGGCGTCTAGCAAACCTGAGAATAGCTTTCGACATCTAAGTAAAGAGTCATTTAAAACACATCACACCGTGTACGTCAGGCCCATATTGGAGTATGCAGCACCAGTATGTAACCCACACCTGGTCAAGTGGGTGCTGGATCAGCCGGGCTGTGGCTCGTACGTTGGACTGCGTGCGGCCAGCAGTAACAGCCTAGTTGATCAGGCCCTGATCCATCGGGAGGCCTGGTCATGGACCGGGCCGCGGGGGCGTTGATCCCCGGAATAACCTCCAGGTAACCTCCAGGTATGCACGTCAAGAAATTAGAGGAAGTGAAAAAGTTTACAACAAGATTAGTCCCGGAGCTGAAGGAGTCACAACTGGAAGCTGAAAACTCACGTGAGTCACAGGGATGTTGGGAAGCATTTCTTCAGTCATAAAGTTGTCCGAAAGTGGAACAATCTAGAGTGATGGCAGGAGGCAGGATCCATACATTGCTTAAAGAAGAGATTCAATAAAACTCATGGAGCAGGGAGAGAGTAGACCCAGCGAAGAGGCGGAGCCAGGAGCTGTGACCCGACACTTGCAGCCACAAAAGAGGTGAATACAAATAGGCGAGTATACACACACACACACACACACACACACACATATGCTCATGCACATCCCACAGACAAAAACTGAAATAATAACATATTCCATATTCATGAAAGGATATCCAGTAATGAAGTAAGAAAGAGGAACCTGGGGAAGGAGAAGAGTTACACTGTTAATGAGAAACAACTGGAGTTTTGAAGTGATAAGAGTGATAAACAGTGGACAAAATCAAGACTGGGTTACCCAAAGTAGTAGTAGCAGTGATCTACAACCCATCATCAAACTGAAGGAAACCTCGACAAGAAGAAAAAGCATTAAGAAGTGTCCAAATAGCTAAAGAATAACTACTAAACATGGGAGAACTAGAAACCACACAGGGAACCGCATTCATAGAGAGGCTAAGATGATGGTAGTGATGGAGAACTTCGTGTCAGTATGTCAAGGACACAACACGAGAGACGAGGGGATGAATGGGGCTTCCTGAGACTGGATCTGTTTCTAGTATTTGCAAGAAGTGCGTCTGACATTGGTGAAGATCAAGAGACTGGATCTAATATTTACAAGTGCATTTGATATATGTGAAGATCAAGATACTGAATCTTGTGTTTACAAGAAGTACATCTGATATATGTTAAGAACAAGAGACTGATAAAAAATGATAGATCTCTGTGGGGTAGCAACAATGAAATACTGAATTTGGAATTCTCTGAGGAAATAAACACCGAGGGGAAAATTTGCCAGCGTAAGGAGTGACGAGACAAACCCAATTTCTGAAGCGGCAACTTGGAAGAGATGAAATTAATGAAGTACAATGGGAAAAGGAACTTGAAGGAAAGTCAACGAATAAGATGACAGAGTACCTGGCTGATAACAACAGAGATAGAGGAGGACTCCATACCCACAAGAAGAGGAGGAAATGGTAAAAACAGAGTCTGTGATTCAAACCAATATGCAGAGAAGAAAAAAAATGGAAAAGCATGGAAAAATTAATGAAATTGAATGACAGAGGAAAACAGAGAAGTGAACAGAAGAACCAGAAATGAATATGCTAGAATGAAAAGAGAAGCTGAGTGACAGTTTGAGACTGACTTAGCAACAAAAGTCAAGTCTGAACAAACACTGCTTCACAGCCACATCAGAAGACGGCAGTAAAAAGTCTAAGAATGGAGAGGAAAAATAAAAATAACGAAAAATTCGGTGAAGACTTAAACAAACGATTGAAAACGAATCAGTGTAAACAAGAGCATCAGCAGACAGTAGATAACTGACATCAAACACACAACAGGGAAGAGGTGAGAAAATTTATTAGTAAGATAAATACATTGAAGCCAATGGGACCCGATAAAGTGTTACCATGGACCTTGAGAGAGGAACACAAAATCTCTGGCTAAAATCTACGAGCCAGTGAATATATGAAAATTTTGAAAAATGTGGAAGACAGCGACTGAAGCTCCAGTTTTGTAAAAGGAAACAGACAGGAAGCATTACATGTCACTCAGGAAGCTGGACCTAGGGGTAAACACAGTGCCGAGCATATCGTTAGAAGTAAACATTAATCTACTAACATCTGTGGGGAATGTTTGCTTGGAAAACTTAATATTAGCGTTCAGCGATCTCAAAAAATATAATCATAGACCTGTATTCCTGTGATAAAACAAAAATCTAGAGGAAGTGCAGAGGCTACGAGGCTAGATAAGATTTCGTTCGGATTTTTAACCCCGGAGGGTTGGCCACCCAGGATAACCCAAGAAAGTCAGTGCATCATCGAGGACTGTCTAACTTATTTCCATTGGGGTCCTTAATCTTGTCCCCCAGGATGCGACCCACACCAGTCGACTAACACCCAGGTACCTATTTGCTGCTAGGTGAACAGGACAACAGGTGTAAGGAAACGTGTCGAAATGTTTCCACCCGCCAGGAATCGAACCCGGGCCCTCTGTGTGTGAAGCGGGAGCTTTAGCCACCAGGCCACCGGGCCACCGGGCCACCCAGGGGTACTTCCAGAGTTAGGGGAATGAGCTGTGAGGCGAAGATAAAGGAACTGAACCTGATGACGCCAGAGGATAGAAAAGCCAGGGTAGACGTGATAGCGACATATAAAATACTCAGAGGACACGATAGGGTGGACAGGAACAGACTGTTCGTGAGGCAGAAAACACATACACGAGGACAGCTGGAAATTAGACACACATAAGTCTTAGGTATATCAGGAACCATTTTTTCAGCCCTAGGATGGTCAGGAAGTGGAATCATAGTTATAGGTATATCAGTGCCAAGCAGGATGAAAGTTGGGACCAGGAGCTGTGACTCGACCTCAGCAACCAAAAATATGATACTAATTTTAACTAGGAGATGAAAAGGTAACATATATACAGAATCAATTATATTTTAACGAAGAAAAACAAAAAAAATGCAAGTGACATAAATAATCCATAACATATTTAATAATAAATGTAAGACAAAATAACAAGGAACGGTTTTTAGAAGGACATGGAGAGTTGTGGAAAAAAAATATCAGAATCAGAGTAGAAAACAGATGAAGCAAGAAACACAGATTCAAACATGACAGAAATAATTATAGAAGCACAGATAACCCGCACATATGAGAAAGAAATGTAGGACGATGTTTCGACCCGACTTGGACCATTAACTAGTATTGTTCCAGTATTGTGCTTTTTTATTTTTCGTAAGGAGAGAGAGAGAGACAAACTCTGAAGAGGAAATATCAAAGAACAAGCTAGAACCGTCTTTTATTCGAAGTAATCAAAAAATAAACTGAAATAGATAATTCATCAGTCGAATACGGATATGAATTACAATCCTAGAGACTGTAGACGACGTGGAGAGGTTAACTGGGGTAATCAGTCCCTCAACCTCAGTGGAAGAAATCCTGGGGTAGACAGAGTGGATAAGCAGTTTAGACAGTCTATCAGCCTGATAGATTGATTACCTTATACTACATCGTGTACTGTTTCCAGATTTGCAATTCATTCCTGTATGAGAGTGATGAAGCCTGCAGCCTAGGAGACACTTGTAGTTAATAAAGATACGTAGTGATGTACATGTGTATCATTTATATAGTGACACATCCCGGTGAGCGTGCGCACACACACACACACACACACACACACACACACACACACACACACACACACACACACACACACACACACACACACACACACACACACACACGATTCATTTATATAGACAAGTAATATTTAATAAACCAAGACGAGGTGCATCA